TCCCTACATGAGACCACTGTGCTGAGTGAGGTTCAGGTGGGAGGACTCTTACTCAGCAAAAGCTTGCCTGACAGCTCCTGACATACCAAATGCATTCTTGCTAACCTCAGTACTCCTTAGGTGGCATCTTTATGATTTCCTAATGTAGTGTCTCCTGTCCCTCACATGAGTGAGGGCTTCTGTAATATCTGTCTACCACAGAAGGTTCCCTCAAGGCTCCCCCCATCAAATCCTTCAGAAATCACAACAAAACACCTCCTCTTGAGCTTATATACAACTTCCAGAACAACATAGCTAGTGTAATTCTTAAAAAGGGGTGGATACTTCCTCGCATAGTGGTGAGATTACTTGGTTGTTTTTCTTGAGATATTTCCCCACTCCAACCTCTCAGTCTGTTAGCACATACCTGTCTTAAATAGGTTAAACTTTCATCCCAGCTGATACAAGTCAGACAACTGGGAGAGGGGAAAAGGAAGTACCTTGAGAGCTTTACAGGTAAGTCTATCTTCTATATATAGTGGCCAACCAGGAAGACTGATCTGGACCTGGGAATACCTGCTCCTGAGTTAGTAAGAAAGAATAAAAACATGTAACATGCACCCCTGTGTACACACAGATGCACACTATGTTATAGCTAAAATACGTTCATCTATAATTGTTAAATGTTAATTCTGATGTGTTCCTTTTTTGATTGTTTATCTTATGTCTAACATCACATTTTGGAATAATAAGCATTTTTATTTATTGTTTCACTGTATTTATTTTTCCCCTGACACTTGCTTATTATAGCCTTGAATTCCTGATATACTGTAGCAGTTCTTACCACCACCTTTACTAAGATAAAGCAACTGTTTGTTACGCATTCACCTTCTGCAATACAATCGAAGCAACCTAATTACTCAATTTGTAGCAACTGCTCTTCATGACAGAATGAAGATTTCTGCTTCTCATTTATACTGTTTGTTGAAGAGGTCTGAGAGGCTCAATGCATATTCATAGATTAATGTACAACTTTTAAAGCCTGCATCAACAGGCTTGTATTTCCAGTTTAATATTATCATCATGAAGGTAGACAAACCAGACATCCACACAGGATGTCTGGTGGAATCATGCACCAGGAACTAGCACATGAACAGTTTACAGCAATGAGGGCATGAACCACAAGATTTTTCCTTTTTGATTTAGGATAACTTGATCTGCATGGATTGTGCAAATGGTTTTGCCTTTTGGTCCTCTATCCTTACTAGGG